GCTGTAGTAGATATGACAAGAACCTACTAGCTTCCGTCCTTATCCCGTCCATTGCCTTTTTTGGATGGCGGTGATGTCAGCTTTCACTCTTATGAAGACATCACCTTCCCAATCGAGGGACCGGACATTCCAGGTGCGTGCCGTCAAATCGTATTCCTCATCCGTGACGTTATTAAATTGTTCATTAGAGTAAATTTCTACGTGACGGGTGCCGAGCCCAGCGCAGATCTTAGCTGGCTTTAATTTGCATATACATATATATCGATCCGCTTGCTTCAAGGCCGATTCTTGGCAAGAAGGCAAACAGAGAAAAGCTGGTATTTAACAACATAAAGTGATTTCTTAACCCAAAAGAACTACAACAAACAATTCTAGAACAAAAACTGTGACAAACTAAAAATAAAGGGCAAAAATTATAAAAGAAAACACTGTTAAATATATATGCATATAAGGATTTAGCTGTTTACAATATACATACATAAATACACACAAACATATATAAATTGTATAAGGACGTATTACAGTTATTAAATTGGGCAACATTTGCATGCAAACGCAATATTTAACCACAATTCACCATTGTTAATAAACAATTACAAATAATCACAATATTTTTGCTGCTCTCTTTTGCACTATTTTCCTTTTTATTTATTTCCACGTTGAAATTGCACATTTATGTACATGCTTCGGTTGCAAGCGAACTATGAGCAGGCCAATCAATGTTTGTTTGAATGTAAACTTTGTATCTTAATTTGTATGTACACACACAGACACATACATACAATATAGAATGGTTAATGCAATACACATTTTGTATTTATTTCTACTGAATAGAGCTTTTATAAACTTTTGCTACAAAAACAATGAAAAAAGCAAAAAAAAAGGGCAAGAAATATTATCCACAATCCACATTTCCCTATCTGCGGCTTTGTTGCAACTAATCTCCGATTTTATTTTAAACGCTTTGTAAAAAAGTGAAGTATTTATTACATTTACATACATATGTAAACTATATAAATGTGTGTGTGCAGTTTCGTGGGCTTGTTGCTGAAGCGTTGAAAAAAATCATTTCGCCCGCCATAACCGCTAATTATGCTAATGTTCGTGGGCGAGCATTCGAGGCGGAATCAAAAACTTTATTTCGCACAGAGGCACAACAAGGCGAAGAGCCGATGAGCAGCAAAAAAAAACAGTTTGTGAAAATAATAAAGTTAACTGTAAAATGCAACTGCTTCAATATCATAAAAACTAAGAATTTTTTAATGAAATTTATTTTAACGCCAAACAAAAAATAAACATTGGTCTCTTTGTCAATTTAATAAAATGCAATTAGTATGTGTTTCATGTTTATGAAGAAGAGCAGAGAGAGCTAAATCGAAAGATAAATACAAGTTTCTAAATACCACTTTACTCACATTCACTTGGATTTCGACATGACATCAAAAAGTGCTCCGACAAAAGGCTCTTGGATGAACGATGTTACCCAGGATCGATAGAAATATATGTAACCCTGCAATCAACTTGTAGCATTTTTGAAAGTTATATGCCTTGATTTCAATGTTCACCAATAGAAATTCTGGCAATACTGGACCAAGCTAAAATTAGTTTCAAAATCATTATTTGACTGCTGTTATTATTATGCATATAATTTTTCTCTTTTTTGATCGAATTTTCCGCGGAGATTCATCCACCTACATGATTTCTCCCCTCTCCTTTAGTTATGTTCGGATCCTTCTACTTCTGAACTGAGGTCGACATTTGTAGATTTCTTTTAGCGATATAAAAAATAATAAAAATTATAAAAATTAATACAATTATTTTCAAACGTCAAATCAAAGGAAAATTGCTAAAAATATATAAATAACGTTAATGATATAAATTATAAAAAAAATTAATAAATAAACAACACTTGAAATACTTCACATCTATTCAAGTAATAAAAATTAATACTAAAAACTATTTAAACATCTGCATGATTCTATGAATATACAAGTCGTTAGCAACTAAAGTTAACAAAAAAATTTAAATTATAATTTAATTTTTTAAATAGATTAAAACACCATAAACTATAACAGTAACCATAAATATTAAAGAACATTTAAAAATGGATTTAAAAAAATTAAAATACAGGAAGTTTTAATATTAAGAAAAAATTTGTAAAATTATAAAAAAATATTAAAACTTTGAAAAAATAAGCAAGTAATAAATGTATTATAACGAAAATGAATGAAATGAAAATATTAGAAAATTTTTGGAAAAAAAATTTTATACATATTTTAAAAGGTACTAGCATAATTTAAAAAAAGGAACAATAATTTAAAAAACAATTATTTGAAATATAAAATAAAATTAAAATCAATAATATAAAATATATATAAAAAATAAAGTTTAAAATAAATAACAATATTGAAAAAAAAATTAATAAGAAATGATATAAATATAAGAAAATATATAAAATAATTAAAAACATAAATAAATATAAAGAAATATAAAAAAATAAATCTAAATTACAAAAAATTAAAAAAAAAAAATTTCCAAAAAAATCAAAAATTTAAAAAATTTCTGAAAGACTTCCAAAAATATTTAAATAAGTTTTAAACATATAATGAAATAATTAATAACTACAAAATAAAAACAGTTCTATTTTTTATTGTCAATACTCCAGTTTCTTAAAAAATGTATGTTTAATAAGTCACACAAAATGATAACACTAAATTGGTAAAATATTATTATTTGGAATCCTCAAGTCAATGAAAAATATGAAAACAAAAATTAAAAAAAAAATATTGAAAATAATTTAAAAGATAATTTTCAAAAATAGGTGTATGGCAATTGTTTTGTGCTGAAAATTAAAAATTTAAAAATTCTGCTGCGGCTAAAAATTCTGGAAAATCAAAAAAAAAAACTTATTATATTATTTGAAAAGACTTGGAAATAATTAAGTAAAAGTCGAAACTCTGAGAGGCGATCGCGATTAGAAAACTTAGCGCAATTTTTTATTTAAATTAATTTTCGATATTAGTATGACACCAGGATCTAAACCCTGGTCTTCCCAATGGCAGCACGCGATACTAACCACTCAGCTACCGCGAACTTCTATATAGTTTACGAAAGGAAATTTACTCCAAAAATTTATAGTGACCATACCATCGTGCTTACTCTTCCGAAATGCTGTCCAAAAATTGGCTATTATTTAAACAAAGCTATTTAATTTTATTTTCATTGTTTTATTGTTCAATTTTACCACTTTTACCACAATCAAAATAACTGTAATGAATTTTAAATTATTGCTTTTGGCTAGCAATTGTGTTTTAACAAATTTTCAAAAAGCACAAACACACATTTGCTGTAAACTACAATACAAACTTATTTATTGCAATTGGATTTGTGTTGATGTGAAAATTATAGTGTTGGATAACGCGATTGTTAATTGGCTATTTCACTGTCTGTGCAAATAACTATATTTTATTTGTTTTTACGTTTTTAGTTTTTGTTTTGGCTAAAACTATAATTATTTGGGGTAGAGCAACAATTCACTTTGGCAAGCCAATTGAATTTTTAGTGGATTTACAAGTGTATGTGTGTGTGTGTGGGTAGTGTCTTGCTTATAAGCAATCTTTGTGTAGAGGTTAAAGTTCAAATGTTACGTTTCTGCCGCGCAGTTAGTACATCACTCTAGTGCAGTGCGAGCGGTCGGTCGGGGCGTATGAGTGATATTTTAGCAAAATTTTACAGTGTGGCCGGACTGCCGGAAGTATTGAGAAGTGTTGTAAGGCGAAAATCAGATAGGGAGTTAACAAATTGAATATAACGAGCGATTACCAGCCAACTAGGTGCACATGAAACACAAACGTGGCCCCAGAAACTCCCGCGCTCGTATCTAAAATAAATAAAATAAAATAAAATAAGATAAAATAGTTAAAAAAAAAAAAACAAACAAACGAAAAATTAAAAAAAGAGTAGACAAAAAGTATAATAATGAAAGCGTGTGAAAATAGCAACAAAACTTCACCCCTATGTTACGACCGCAAAGAGAAGCGCAGGGCAAGTGCTTATATATTCAACATAAAATATTAATGTCAAAATAAGAAAAGACAGAAAAATAAAACAAAAATAATGATGATAAGAGAAAACCAAAAAAATATGAGGCCTTATGGTGCACCAATAAGATCCGGCCAATGTCTAAACAGACAACAAACACACAAACACACAGACAGACACGCACGCACACCTTACGGGAAATGTGCTGATAAGAGCAAAAACAGCAACAAATATATATATATAAAATAGAAGTAAAGTAAAATAAAAAAGAGCAAAATACAAAAACAAGTAGATAAAAACACAGAATATATGCACCCACGCACACACACACATATACATTGAAAGCACAAACGACTCTCTCTCAAAGGCAGGCGCTCGCCACAGCTATAGGCCCACAATTCCATGGACCACCACAACACAATCCAGCCGGCAGCAAGCGGCAGCCGCACGTGTACGCAACGCTTTGCAATTCGCTGAAAATGTGATGGTTTATGACGCAGGCGCTATGCCGGAACTGACAACAGCTGTCGGCTATATTGCAAAGAAATCGTCATCAGCTCGTACGAGTCTAAAGCCAGCACACGAAGTGGTGACCTAACTGTGTTACCGTCATAAGCGTCGCGTCGCTTGAACGACTATCAACCGGCTCCTTTCGGCTGTCATTTAAACTGAAAAATCAAAACAAACGGTATAAGAGTGGCAAAGAGAGAGCGAAAGCGGGAGAGAGAGAGAGAGAGAGAGAAGGAAGTGTTTGAATGCTGTAAAAGTGAGTGCGCTTAGCATATGGAATGCTTTCAAGTGCATTTAGTGAACACATTGTGATTTTACTCTCAAAATAAGGGTAAATTATGAAAACCCGTTATATTTCTTTTCGACTGCCTATTTACGTCTACATATATGCGGTTTGTTGTCCTTTGTCGGCGGCGACTGGCAATGAAAAATTCAGTTTGACGTTACTCGCACGACCAAAAGGACATGCGAAACGGAAATCACAACCACGACAACGACGACAAAGGTGCGGATAAGTAATTGTGATAGCGGTGCGCGAGTGATATATGTGAAGAGGATATAAGAGTATAAAGCGAAATTACTGTAGTAAATATATATGTTTAAAGTATGAAAAAAGCAAAAAAATATAACTAAAATATAACTAAGAGAAATAGAAAATAATTTGAGTTCAAAAATAGTTATAATTTCTTGCGTACAATATTACAACAAAAATAAATATAAAATAAAATATAAATTTTTAAATGAAAACAAACAGATATTTTTTCCTTAAACATTACCACAAAACAATGAGAGAAATTAGCATGCTGTAAGCGCCAAAAAAAAATCCATTCTAGCAAACCGCAACTTTGTAACGAGCCGACAACACTTGCTGCCGCTTTGGGTCAGTACCGCGGTCGTTTAGCGGCACAACTGCCACATTTGCGGCTACAAAGCAAATTTAAGCGAATTTGCTACAGCTGCGCGCACAAAAGCCGGCAACCAATCGCCAACACAAAGAATAAAGCAAACAAAAAAGAACCCAGCCAGTCTTTGAGGCAAAAAAGTGTAAATCTTTTTGGAGAGAAAAAAAACAAAACACTTAAAAAGTTGCCGCAAAATGTAGTGCAATCAAACGTGTGCAAATAAGTAGAACGCAGATTAAACAAAAGGCGATTTAAAGCCCGTGAATGCGCAACACAAACAACCGTTACGAAAGCAGAAAGCAAGAAAAAAATGAGAAACTCTTGAAAAAGACATAAAAAAGCGGACGCAGTGAAATTATTGCCGGAAATGAAGCATGCAACTTGTTGTGTCCATTTTGTCCAAGCCATGCCTCACAACGCCTTATGAAAATACTCCGCAAAACACAGTCAATAGCCCAGAGCAAATAGCAGCCAACACTGGATTGCAGACGAGAAAATCAGTTGGCGAGGCATCGAAAGCAGCGACACATGCACTTTTCAATCGGCAACTCGCAGGCTCAGACATAGCTGGAGTCACTGATACTTTCACTTTTTTACTTTTTTCACTTCTTTGAATACGCAACAGTCTTCTCTTCTCTTCTCTTCACTGCCCATCAGCCACTCAACCAACATTTCGCGCCATTTTGCAACACTACATTGCCGGCAGAGACCAACAATCAAGCAAGCAGCCTCGGCTGATGGCGCACCACATCAAAGTGTCGAGCGAAAGCAAGTAGAGGAAATTAAAATTTGCATGTGAAAGAAGTTGAGCTCTTGCATGTGCATGCCGCGCCCTCTTCACTGTTCACCCACCGTCCATGCTTACGGCATGAGGTATTTAAAAAAAAAATTGTGTTGTGGGAAAAAATTGCACACTTTACAAAACGAATAGACGGCTTGGCTCAGGCAGCTTTTAGTGTCCGGCTTTAGATATGAAAAGGCGCCTGAAGAGGCGAAATAAATGAGAAAGGGGAATATCAAAAAAAAAAAAAACGTAAAGACTCGGTAGAGACAAGATTGTCTGCTGGTAAATGGAAAAATTGTTAGGAATATGAACCAAACCAAAACAAAAACAACAACAGTGATAATGAGAAGTAGCAAAACCGTGCCGCGAATCAACAGCATTCGTAACTGTAATTCCAATTGCCATGCAACGTTGCTTGCGTGCGATATGAAAAGGCAGTTGAGCTTATTCGCCAAAGCAAATTGCCTACAACAGAAATAACAATGACGAAAAAACTGTATAGAAAGTACTGAGTTGCATCAAGTGCTTGGTATTGGGTTTCAGATTCTAAAATTTCAATGATTGCAATGCAATTGTAGAATTATAAATATCAATTAAAGGTCACAAACTGTTAAGTGTGAAGGACAAAGTTTTAGGTTTCGGGAACTGAGTATTGGATTAAATGTAGCCACAGGCGATTGGCGCGAAACACAACTTTGGGAATTCCATTAATAAAAAATATATGAATATTTAAAATAACAATAAATATATACCACGAAAAAATATATTTAAATACGTCAATAATTATAAAAAATTATTTAAAACTAAAACACTAAAAACTTTATTACAAAATTTATGAAGAATATTAAAAAATCAAGATTTACTAAGACAAAAGTCTTAAAAACTATACTACAAAGTATTTCAAAACAATTAAAAATTATTATATGCTATACATAAATTTTTTAAAATATCAATCTTAATAATTATTTTTGCATCATTAAAAATTATTTAAAAAAAAAACTAAAATAACTATTGTTAATTAAAAATATAAATTTATGAAACGAATATTAAAAAAGTAATCATAAATAATTTTAATACATAAAATTTATGAAAGTTTTGAAAAGTTTTCAAGTAAAATTTCAAAAAAAAAAAAACGAAAATATCAAAAAATAAACAAATACATCAAAAAATACTAAAAAAAAATCTAAAAATCGTAAAAATATTGAAAACGTTAAATTCAATAAGAATGATATTTACTAATATTTAACACGATATTAAAAAATGCTAAAAACTCTATAAAAATTATTAAGACATACATATATGCATACAACAAAAAAAAACATTTCGAAAGTTTAAACAAAAGCATTAAAAACATAAAAAAAAACAAACTAATATTTCTAAATATTGTAAAAATGTTTAAAAGGATTTATTTAAAATAAATTATACATAATAAAATTTATAACGAAAAATATTAAAAAATCGGAAAAAATATTAAAAAGCAAATAAATGTAAAAATGCAGAAGTTGATGGGAAAAGAAATTTGTGATTTACATAAAAGTTTGTAAACTGAGTTGTTCAAATTTAAATAGAAAATGCTATTTAAAAATTTAAAACCCTGAAAATAAAAACCATAATACAATATCTAAACTATTTTAGAAATCATCAAACTAAATAAGCGAAAAATTTATAATTTTAACAAAAATATTAGAGATTAATAACAAATACATATAATATATAACAGAATTAAAATCTTTTAGATAAATATTTACTCAATATATAACAAAATATTAATTAGGAAGTTTAAATATAATCAATAAAAGACAATTTTAAGGAAGATTCTTAATATTAACAACAAAATTATTGCTACTAACATCGCTCAAAAATAAGAAACAATTAAAACAATTTTCTTATAATCGAAATACATTTAAAATTATTTATAATAAAAGTTTTACAGAAATAATTATTTTTTCTCTGGTTTCTTTTAAAATATGAAAAAATTGAAAAAGGCAAAAAGTCTAAAGTATTAAATTTTTTGTCAATGGAAGGAAAATAAAATAGAAGAAAGGAAAATGCCATTGAAATTCGTTTTAAAAAATATTAAGAATTTGCATAGGGAAATGTTTGACAGCGATAAAAGCTCAACTAATTTTTTCAATTTTAGAGCTTTCCTATTGTCAGAATTTTAGAAAATATTCAAAATATTCTACATAATATGAAAACAGTGATAAAATTATATTCTATAGAATTTTCAAATTATTATTTTTTCTGTAAAATTACATAATTGTTTAATTATTTTTCATTAAAACAGTTACAAGCGCAAAGCTTTTACGCAAAGTGCTTGGCGTTGAGTAGTAAAAAAGCACTAACTCAAAAATAATGAATATAAGTGTTTAATGAAAATGCGCTACAGAAGTGTTAAGTTGTCAAATAACAGTACCAATTATTAAGTACTAAGTGTTGATATAAATTTGTAAAAAAAAAACAAAAGAAAGAACAAGCACCTCAGTGCCAAAGTGAAGCGCAGTGAACGCCCGCACGCTTTGTTTGTGACACATAATACGCCGAAACAAAAACACACACAAGCAAATAAACCGCTAGTAAGCAACTCAACGGCAGACGCGTGGCAGCTGTAAACTTAGCCACCGCACACAGGCTTGCATGTGGCAAGTAAGTGACGATATGTATTGCGGTGCTTGAGTGTCATTGTCAGTGCCACATGCATGCACACACATACAAACGAGCAAACTGGCAAAGGCAGAGAAAAACTTGCGAATATAGTGAAAACAAAATCCTCATGCCACTACAAACATACATATATACATACATATGCTCGTTTGTATGCGCACAAGTCTCCATTTCAAACCTGAAGTAAGCAAAACGACGAACTGACTGAAAACTCTGTGCCACATGTGCGGCTTACAGGCTGCCACTGCTGAAGCAGCAACTATTACTCAACACTAATACCAAGTGCTAATTCTAGTGGCATCGATACGAATACTCGCGCACACACATACAACTATAACAAGCTATGTATGTGTAGCAGCACTAAAGTTATAACCAACAAATACCCACCTCCTCTGCGCGCGCTTCTTGTAGTTGAAAGAAATATTGCAACACAAGCAACAGCATGCCGCCATCAACGTACGCAGCGCCGTCAGCATTCTCAGCGTCAGCGTCGGCGTCATACTCCACTGGATTTATCGCTTATTCAGCAATCGTTTTGCTTTGCACTTCCGGTAAGTGAAATGCACTCAGGCACATACATACATACATAAACACACATGTATAGAAATGTGTATACATATTCTAGTATATGTATATATGTATACAATAAGTGGTCATATAATCATAACATACGTGTATATGCATGTGGATGCCCGTATTTTCATTTGTGAACATATTTTCCCTAAATACGTATGTAAATGCATATGTGTGCTCTGCCGAAACAGCTTGTTGTGCGCTGCTCCAGGAGATTGCTGCAATGCTTCAATATAATACTTCCCGCAACAGAAGCCAAAATGGAAGAAATTGAAAAATATACTCATATGCTTATAAATATAGCTATACTCATGTGTATGTATGTAATATGAGCATACAGCAGCAATTTTGTTCTTATTGCTGTTGTTGTTGCTGCTTACCCAACATTGCTCTTATACAAGTTTATACGGTTCTCTGTGGCAATGCGTCCAGTCATGCATTTGCTGGCGCTCAAAAGTATGCAACATATCTCTTCAGGTTCTAATAAATATGTACGTGGGAGTATATATGTAGTTTTCTTTTACTTTTACCATACTTCCTTTATTCACCGCAATTCTTTAGTTTCCATTTCACATTACGCATTCATTCATTTTTATTTAAATTCGCACATCAAAGTCATCATATCCGTCTTCGGATTAGTACACGAGCTTCAGTAATATTGTAATCTTTAAAAGTGCATGTGAATAGCTTAAAAACGAGTATTTCATTAAAGAGAAGAGCTCTTTTTTACATAGAACTCTTAGCATGAAAGAAGACAAACTTCACGAAGGCACAAAGCAAGTAATATTTTTAATCATTTCATTCCATTCGCGCAATGAGTTCGCCTTCGAAATACCTCTGAAATTCGATAATTGCCATTGATGCTGCAAAACCTTTGGGTTTATTTGCGGCAATATTCGAATCGAACTTACTTTATATTAGAGAATCCCAACCCATGAGATTTCAATCTCTCTGCTTACCGCGGCGGTTATGTGATTTTTACGATATCTGCTGTTGGGTACTCAGAAGAGGCAAAGATCTTAATTCAATAGGTGACTGCACGTACATAAATACTGCTGCTGAAGCGCACACGAAATAGAGAAGGTTAAAACGTTAAAATCGATAATCTATGCATTCCATCGAAGGGTGCGGGATGGGGACTAACAGAACCATTCCCAACAACTAAGAGATAATTTTTTTTACCAAGGAACTACGTCATCTATAGTTGGAAATTGTGACTGTTGTGCAAGGCGATATGCTCAACCAAGAGGTTTCCGTTGTTTGCTTCTATTAATAATAATGTTATAATTCCAATATTTCAATAAAAACCCTTTATACGTATTTACCATTTGGGGCAGAAGTTCCACTGTCTTTTTTTTAATTTGAATTTGAAGCTTTTTACTTTATTTTTGAATCGTAAATACTTCATACAACGGCAAAATTGAAATTCTTTTCCCTGTAGTCTGTCCTGCTGATAATTTTTGGATATATAAATATTGCCACCATATAAGTCAAACACGATTTATATTTTTACCTTCCGTCGAGTGGGAAGAAATCAAAAATCATTCAAAATCAAGAATTTTCCTTTTCAGCATATGCAATGCAATTTACCCTAATGTTGGATTTGTTTTATGCAAAAATAGTAGCTTCTATCGATACAGTGACAACCGAGTTATTAGCAGTATGTACTACCATTCCCGAGGCCGGTTTTCGACTTCTAATCCAAGCAACATCCAGACTTTTACAAAACATATTCTTGCAACTGCGGTCGCCGCACCAAGTGTAGTTCTGACATAAAATAAAGAATATCCCTTTGGAGGTGGCTCAAAATGCACTGTAGGTCCATTTGTTGGACAGACCTCAAGACGCACACCAAAAATTGAAATGATTCCGCATCTTCCATTTCGCTTATCTAGGAGTGCACAATTCAATTGGGGAATGCTAAAAAATTCTGTTGATTTAGTTAGACCCAAAACTGAGCGAGGTTCGAATTAAAATCACAGTGCATTATTGGAAAAAAAAATAATTAAATTTTAAAAAATAAAATGTAAATCGCATGATTTATTAACATTTTAGAAAAACTATAATTTTCTGCAAATAATTACAAATATTTTGTGTGCTTTTGAAGAAATGCAGAAACTTGAATATTTTCAATTGAACCAAATATTTATAATCTCGATATTGGGGTGGGTAATTTTCGGGTTCAATCCAACTTCACTAGCTAACTATTCAGCTAATAGTACACAAAGAACTGTAGCACAGGCGATTGGTTATTGAATATTCATGGTTACCTACATAAGTACATACTTTGTTCAATTGGTAACCTTTATTTTTCTTTACCATTTTCATTTCAATTTACTTCACTGCACACATTCTTAGCCCATATCCGCTTCAACGTTTAGTTGCTTTTTGCATTCAATTTTACTTCTAGTGTGTGATGCCGATGCGACGCTTTTCATATATTTTCTACACACACATGTATGTATGTATATGAATATGAAAATGAGTTGTTATTCATTCATTTGTATGGCATATTTCTGGAGTAGAAATCATGTATTTCTCCGAAATATGAACTGGTAATAAATTGGCAGAAAATACATATGAAAAGTTTAAGTTAAATTTGTAATTTTATGTCTGCTGCCCACTCCCTTAAGTTACACATGCTTAAATGCCATTCAATTCACTCAACCAACAGTTCTCCGCCTTCCACTTTTCGCTTTTCATTTCATCATTTACAATTTTATATGCAATTCATCACACATAATACGGAATACGAAGAAAAAAGGATTCTTCTCATCTTCCGCCACTTTCATTACCAGCAAAGGTAATGGATTACATGCAGGAGTATGCATATAGAGATATGTAAGCTTGCATGTGTGTGTATATGTAGTGTGTGTATGTGTATGTGTAGACTCATATTCATAAGCTTACTCTTGTACACAGTCATACACTTATTGTCTGTAGCTCTGAGTTCCAGATACAAAGCAAAACTCAGAGTTTAATTTAAAGAAAGAAAAAAACAACAACTCACTTACATTCATACAAAAATGTCCCTCTAAGCTAAAGTGATATTTGTGCAATAGCATTCAACTAGAATGCAACTAGTTAACTGTCAGAATAACAAACTTAACGTCGCTTATTCCTCGCGGAGTGCGCCTTCAGTCGCGCACAAGTCTCCCCAATACAGCTTATCCAATGAAGCGCTGACCTACAACTACTGACCCCTCATCATCACACGCGGCAATTTTGATATTTCTCTGAAACCAAACCTAAGAAGCCCGTTTCCATTGGGTTGCAAGCGCCTGACCATTCCCCAGGTTGCCATCAAGTATTCCCAGGAAGATATTTTTTTTTTTTGAAACCTCGGCAAACGATCATACATGAGTTCTTGGGCTTATTCACCTGGATTTCCATATGTGGACCCTTCGCTGAGTGCTTATCAGCTTACATGTCAAAGTGGATTTTTTCAAAATTCTCCTGGAAAGCCTTTTGCGCCTGTATCGTGCCTAGTTAGCATCCCTCATTCTGGTAAGAAACGTAGGAACAGAGGGTAGGAGCGTAAGGTGGCCCTCTGTGTTCACACTGGATTCACTAGTACCCGAAGAAGCAGCCAATAATCATTGGACAACTGTGCTAGTGCCAGGAATATACAGTAAGGGATTCCCTTTCTTACCCTTACCATTTTTGGCATTTTTGAGTTTCGGTAGAGCCCCCGGCTGCTCCCTCGACCCCAATCCAAAAGCCATCTGTTATCGTCTGACAGTATTGGCGGTTCCATGCTTCTCAGGTTGTTGAGCTTCCCAACTCTTCCGGACTTTGCTTTGAGTGCTGGTCTCTTTCTGTTCGAGACTTTGTTATTTAAAAGCCCCCAAACAGGCTGATCCCGGCACGCAATGATATCTTGATCCCGCCACATCTCAATGCTCTTTTCAAAAACCATCATTTCTAACCTAACCTTTTTAACCTTCTTAAGTACCAGTACGGAACTAGAGTCTTTTTGTTTAGCTTTTCACCGCAAAGTTTTCAAACACATTTCTAAATCACATACACATTCAAGAATTAGTATTTTTGCAAATACATATATACATACATTTACAAGTGGGGGTTTCTCATCTGATTAGTCCGATTACTTTTTGTTAACAGTTATTTGCCAATAATGCCATTGTCTTAAATGTATGAATCTGCATCTGTACATATAACTGTTCCACGCTTTTAATATTTGATCCAATGAAAAGAGAAAATTAAGAAAATATTGAGTTGTGTTTTTTATTATTCCTCTATTTAACAATGTGTGAATGTACATAATTCTACTCGTATGTATGTTTGTATGTTTTAAAAACGGAAATTAGTTGAGCTTTCATTGATTTAAATAAAACCGGTGGCCAGTTTCATAGAAAAAAATTGAAAAAAATATGAAATTTCCTATTTTGTGTATCAAAACGTTTTCCTAAACGAAAAATAAAACGGTTCGTTCAATTTTGTTCTATCCCAGTCGTTTGAACTAAGAATAGCGGGAGAAGGTAGCCAATCAAAATACAAGAACTGCGCAGTACAATCCGCTTGAAGAAATATCTCACAAAGATATCTAATTGTAACATTAAATCGAGCTTAACCGCTGAAAACTATATTGAATTTTCGAGAAGTACGCACAGACTTCGTAACCAAATGAGTTTAGTAAGAAATTTCTAACTTTATACATATATACCTAAATTCTAGGAATTATTTGTAGGTCCACAGAGACGACAAGTAATAAAGGCTAAGGCCTTTGGAGTAAAACTGGGTGACGAGGAAAAACCTGCCTGCCATTATTTTGTGAACATTGTCTAGACCTTTCTTGGAAACCGTAAATAAGGGTAGATTAAAAAAAGTTTGACCAGTCACTGGTTTTTAATTTATTTTTCTAAAATCTAAAAATATCAAATCCTTTGCAGTTATTTTATTAGTCTTCCTTTCAAATTTTAGAACGGTTGGCTAAAATAGAGACAAGAACGCAAGACAG